GGCAAAACGGGGGGGGGTCGTAATGGGGTCACAGTGAAAACACCATCAAACAAAATCCTCCATTTTCTCCTGGATCCGTCAGTAAAAACAGACGTTTGTGTTTTAAACCAAACGAAGAATATCTCTTAAAGGGGTCACATGGAAAAATTGAATGCTGGGAAATGTTCACAAATGGTGTAGATTACCTTTAATGTAATAACATAACATTTAATTTGTTGTTTTTATTTCTTGTGTAATTTGTGTTGTGAAAATAACAAGGTTAGATTAATACTTCTTTATGTTTGAACAAAGTGATTTGCGTTTTACTTTGAAGGGTTTCCAGTCGACATATTCAAAAGTGTTAAAAAGTTCTTTAAAGGTACTAGCTCTGGCCAAAAGGGGCCCAAGGTTTGTATCATTTTTGTATTACATTTTGTATTGTATTGTGTCCGGTTTTTAAGTTTTATGGTTGTTTTAAATAAGTAAAGTGTGTTAGCATCTTGCCGATCTATATTTAGCTAAGCTAACGCTGTAATTTGGGTCTGTAAAGTTTAAAAGACTGTTCATTGGAAGGTAATTGTATTTTTATTTTTTTATTTCTTTTAGCTCTTACGGTGAGTTCATATGATGCCTTCACTGACCGTTCAAATAAAAGTATATGAACTATCAGTCTAAGAGTCCGACCATCAATTCTGCACAGTTTCTTTATGAAAAACAACTGGCTCTATTTCTATTTCCACTTCAGAATGGATTTTTAAAATCCGAGGCAGTGAGCAATCGGGATGATTTAATTGATAAGTGATGGGACTGGGAAAATAAACGGGAATCTTGCTGGTGGTCCCACTGTGGGCCTGAGCCGTGACAGCTTTAGAGGCAGGGATCTCTATTGTGGTCGTTCATCATGGGGGACCCCCAGTGATTTTTTCCCCCCATCTGTCTACTCTTTGGAAACATCCTGCTGATAGTGGTCGGAGGAGCTGAGTTGTTGCAGAGTCGGTGGATTTTAATCGACAGATTTAGCTACTTTTCCGAGCCCCCACAGCATTTTATTTTTCATAAAAACTGCTGACAAATCGAGCATTAAGGACAGATATCCACCAAACTGCCCTGGTTTTGCTTTTTTTTTTAGTTAAGGACAGCGCATTTTGTCTTCTTGCATGTATGATAAATTGTCCTTGTTGTAAATCAGGAGTCTGTGTGGGGAAAAGATTAAATATTTAGCTGCATCTAACTGTCTCTCCCGGAGCAATGAGCAGCCACAGAAATCTAGCTGACAGCACAATGGCTTTGTTGTGTTTTGCCTGTATCGATGGCGAATTTTGCCACGTGTTACTGAGATGACAAATAATAAATCAGGCTGTTATCAGAGCTGAGCAGAGATCTTTAGACAGCTTTCATCCTTATGGCAGATTAGCATAAAGTCCGCATCGGTCACGTTTCTGTAACAGCTATTTAACATTAGCCTCACACAACGCAAAGAGAAAAATACAATTATAACACAAGCTGCTTTATTTGGAATTTGGCTGTTTTTATAAATTGAATATGTAAGAAAAAACCGCTTTAAATGGCTAGTGACATATGTGAATTAGCATTGGGTTTTTCCTAAAAAGTAATGAACATTATTTTGCATCGTGGTGGTTCTGAGGAGGAAGAAGTGACTAATAAACGTAGATAATGTTTAGGGGAAACTATTTATGTATTATGTCTCATTGTGGTTGAGACATAAATGTGTCAAACACAATGAGCTCAGGTTCACTGCCGTTTAAGCTAACTAGCCACCTGAAGCTACTTTAGCATAATAGCTGATGTTTGGTTAAGTCAAATGAAAAATACAATTATAACACAAGCTGTTTTATTTGTAATGTGGCTGTTTTTATAAATTGATTATGTAGGAAAAAACAGCTTTTTAAATGGCTAGTGATATATGCTAATTAGCATATGTTTTTTCCAAAAGATAATAAACATTATTTTGCCTCGTGGTGGTTCTGAGGA